CCTCGAACGAATGCGGCTTTCCAGCCCACACTAAAGAAGCACACTTTTTATAGACCAGCAGCTAAACGTGCACTCCGAGATCCACGGCCAGGCTGCTGTTATGGGCAGCCCTGGGGTCCCAATGCCCACCCATCTCCTCCTCCATCCATCCCTCGCCCTGCCCAGGAGGAGGAGGTGGAGGAGGTGGAGGGGGAGGCGGCCGAGGAGGAGGAGAAGGAGGAGGAGGAGAAGGAGGAGGAGGGGGAGGAGGGGGAGAAGGAGGAGGAGGAGAAGGAGGAGGAGGAGGAGGAGGTGGAGGAGGAGGAGGAGGAGGACGGCGCGAGCGGACCAGCGCCCGGCGCAGGCGGGCGGGGCCGCGGCGGCGCCGATTGGCCGCCAGCGCCCAGCGGCGGGCGCAGGCGGGCAGATCTCGCCCAGCTTCCTCCTCCTCCTCCTCCTCCTCCTCCTCTCCTCCTCCTCCTCCTCCTCCTCCTCCTCCTCTCCTCCCTCCTCCTCCTCATCATCATCATCATCATCATCATCATCATCATCATCCACCTTCTCCTGCTCCTCCTCCTCCTCCTCCTCCTCCTCCTCGTCCTCCTCTTCGTCCGCCTTCTCCTCGTCCTCCACCTCCTTCTTCCCTCCAACTTATGGTGGTGGTGCTGGAAAACAGGCCCATCGGGCGGGGCCAGGACTGGGGCAAGTCGTTCTGGGGCTTCCTGGAACGCTCTGAGAGCGTTCCGGACCGCTTTGGATCGGCTGTGGCGCCTGATCCGATCTTGTTTCTGTCCCGGTCCGATGTTGTCTTTGTTCTGGCCTTGTCTCATCCAGGGTGCCTAGATCTAATTCCTTTATTTCCGCTCCCTCCTCCTCCACCCTCCCCCTCTACTTCCCGCCTGGCTCCCCCCCCTAAATCCTGGGGGCCAACCCTGGCCCCTGCCCCTCCTCGAATCCGGTGGGGGGGCCACAATACTGCCAGCACTCCCGGGGCCTCTCCTGGAGTGCGCCCTGACCAGAAGGTCGAGCCGAACCCAGCCGTGGTGACGTGGGATGGGTAAGTGCCGGTATTGGGGTCCCGTCCCTGTCCGAGTCTCCAGGGCACCAGTCGCCCACGCGTCGTGCACGGGCGCCCACGCGAGGGCACCGGGCGAAGCCTCGGCCGACGCACGCAACTCCTCTGGCAGCCTGCTTAACGCACCCCTACGTGCAAGCAGTGCTTGGGGAATCGCTCCCTCTTCCTGAGCTCCCCCCCACCAGCCCCACATGGCCGCCCAAGAGAGCCTCGGCCTTGCGCGGCGCCCTGGCGGCCGAGAGGGGCGGGCGGGGGAGGGACACCATGGCCAGGGCTCGGAGATCTCACTGCGTCCCCCTCTTTCTCTTCTCTCCATGCGCCCCCCGGTCCGCCTCTCGTCCGCGCACACGCATTCGCATTCCTGGCCACGGTCTGCGAACTCCCCTCCTGGACGACCCCCCCCCGGCCGCCCCCGACCAGGCCGGCGCTCCCACCTGCTGGGGGACGCCGCCAGCGACTCCTCCAGCGACGACCGGGGCGACAGCGACCTCGAGGCGGGCGGGGCTTCCCATGGCCCGTGGGCGGGCCGAGCGGGCGGCGCGGAGAGGGCGACCGGCGGCCGACGGCGGGGGCGGGAGGTGCTCCGCCTCGTCGCTGCGCGTCTGCGTGCGTGCGGGTGCGGGCTCACATGGGGTCTTCAGGCCTCCCAGATGGGGTCGGAGCAGAAAGGGGGTCGGAGGATCGCGTCGCATCGCCGATGCATCGCCGATGTGGCCAGATGCGGACCACGATTCGCTTCACGTCGACGCCGCCGATGCATCGCTCACGTCGACGATGCCCCGCTGGTGCATCGCCGATGCATCGCTGATAGATCGGCGATGCCGTGCGATCCCCCGACCCCATCTACTCCGACTCCAGCCCCCCCCCGCGACCCGCGAAGGCCCCGCACACCGAAGGTCGCTCCTGGCCAGGGCCACTTTTTGCGTGTGGGCGAGCCGAGTGCTCGTTGTGCTCGTCATTCTTTCAGTCCCAGTCGTAAGTCGGGCATGTCGCTCTTATCGTTTTGCAAGGATGCCGAAAAACGAATGGTCATGCTCTTTGGAGTATTTTTGAATATTTTCTCCAATTTGTAACTTTCCTCCAAAATCCGCCTGTAGGTGGACGCGCCCGGCCGAATCCCAGTCTGGCTCGACCCTGTCCGTCTTGCGCTGGACACTTTGGAATGGACGACTCGCTGCCCTGGGCTGTGCTCGTGCTCCAGCGACAAGGAGCGCCCGTTATGCTGGACTTGAGTATTGCCCCTGGCAACCTGGCTTGTCCTCTGCACGACCTGCACGCGCCGTCTCCTGGAGCCGAGGCCCCCGGCACTTCCTGCACTGGTTCGTTGCTCGCCTCACCACGCCCGCTTGCTGCCCGTGTGAGCCTGTGCTGCGGCACACGAGCGGCCTGACCGTGCTCCGCCCCCCGCGGCTTCCTCTCCCCCCGCCGCGTTTTGCCTGCTCCTGTTGTGCCTCATTTGGCCCCGAAGCGTCCCTCGGCTGCCCCGACAGCGTCTTGGACCCAAGTCTCCAGGAATGGGGGGAGAGGGAGCCGGTAACGTCACGATTCGCGCCAGGGGTGATTAGAAGTGACTAGTTCCCAGACGGCGCCGTCGCGAATCGTGACGTGACCAGGGAGGGGGGGGCAGAGCGTTATCGCGAATCACAGAACATCGGACCAGACGCTCCAGCACCCCACAGCTCGAGAAACTGGGGCGTGTGCACACCGAGCTCATTGGCCGAGCAGAAGACTTGGTATAGATGTCGGGTCCCTCTCGGTGAAGACTGGAGGCCGCGCCCCCCTCGTGGGCATCTCGTTTGCTCTGTCATGGATAGCGAGTGTGTTTCTTACAGCGTCGCGAGGGTGTGTGTGTGTGTGATTGTGCTTTTGAACGCTGCTCGGTATCATTCATGTAACCAATCCCCTTCCCCATCCCCTATCCCCTTCGAGACCCCCACCAAATTACCACCCCAGTTGGGGATACACCCCTCGAAACCCGAAGGGAACGACCTATATCCCCATCTAGGGGGGTTAACTCGGCCAGTGGGGCCCAGGCTATGCCGCTTGGGATGACTCAGTTGCACCTCCTAGAATCAGGCATCGGCTATTGTATTTCCTTGGTCCGAGTTCATCCGACCCGGCCCAGATCAATCCGAACCAGTCTTTTTGCGAACGAGCTGCCTAACATGGCTGGGTACCTACCTTTTTGATTCCTGATCCGGCTGGACATGTCCGAGCCGTGCCTGCGAGACATCCAGGGGTTGCCACCGCAGCCTCTCTCGTGGGCGGGGACACATATCCGCATCCACGGCCTGGCGGGCTGTGTCACGACCCTGCGGATGCGGGGCATTGTTTCGCGGAAGCCCCGCGCGGAACGTGACGTATATGGATACGCTGGCCGCTCGTGACTCTCGCGAACCCCCGCAGTTCCCTCCGCCCGCGCACCAGCCCGCCGGCCAGCCCTCTCCTGAGTTTGGCTCTCGTCTGGGCGCGCGGGGTTGCCCCACCGCGCCCGGCGCTCCCGCGCCCATGGCGCCCGGGGCGGCGCCGCGGCGGGGCAGGCGCGCGCTGGCGGTGGCAGGCTGCCACGGATGGGGAGAGGGGGTCTCTGAGTGTTTGCGCTCCCGGGCGACGACGGACCTCACCTGGGGGAGAGGGGTCGGGGGTCCCCGAGCGGGGTGGTGACCACACCGCGTGGTGAGTCGGTGGGGGTTCGGGGTCACCGCACGGTTTTGGGACTCGGGTCATTCTCCGAGGACGTCTAAGCGTCAAGCAGTGGCGAAGCGACCTGGCTCGCCTATAGGCCTACCAAAGAATGTTCTAAGAACCTTTTCTGGATTGCACGAAATGTTCTCTCGTCCTCCTCCTCCCTCCCTCCCTCCCTCCCTCCCTCCCCCCGGACACTTCGAGCGGGGGATCGACTGCAAGATCCGCGCGCTTCGCGCGCGCGCTTAGGTTCTGGTGCGTATGCTCCAGTGTGGCCCTGTCGGGCCGCTCTCGTCGCCCATTCGTGTCCCCTCCAGCAGGGGCCCAGGGCATCCAGAGTCCTCCCCGGACACCTCGAGCAAGGGATCGACTGCAGGACCCATTCCCCCCAAAACTGATTCGTCCTGCGAATCGGCGAGGGAATGCGCAGGAAGTTTCGCAGATCTGCGGGGCACATTGCGCATTTTTCGTCGATTCGACGGGAAAGCAATTTCGGAGTAAATCAACTCCGTAGCCGATCCCCCCCCAGCAGAACACCCGAGCATATGACAATTATGCTCAGTGCGCGGCCCCCGAGGTTCCGATCCCTTCCCCTGGGGGTGGAAGGGTGCTTCGTCCCCGTCCCGTTCTCGCTGGTCCCGGGCGGGGCCCGGCGGCGGGTCATGGAAACCGCGCTCGAGGAAGCGCCGCGCCCGGCCGATCCTCGAGCGCTGGGCCTCGGGCCTCGTCGGGACACCCCCGGGCCTCTCGGGGGTCACCAGCCGACCTCGCACCCGCCCGGCCCTGCCGCAGCCAGCCTCGATCCTCAGCCGTCCTGGGCCCTCGAGCCTCGGACCTCGAAGCTCCCCAGCGCCCGCCCTCGGGCGCCAAAGAACCCCCCCTCCTCGAACCTCGACCCTGGCCAGGCAGGTGTAGGATCGGGATGTCTCGCTCCTCGCCGAGCGCGTTCCACTACCTGCAAAGTGCCGACTCGCAAACGTCGGAAAGCCATACGTCTGCCTTTGTGTAATATATCGTAGGTTCCCTGTGGCGGATCCAGGCCATTCGCGAGTAGCTTCTTCGTGAGTAGTGCAACGCGCTTGTCTAGCTCCAGAGCCAGCTGGGACACTCTGAGCGAGCCGGAGCGCTCTCGGAGCGTTCCTGAACGCTCTCAGAAGGCCGCGGTGCCCGATACGCCCCTCAGGGCCGCCGGGCCTCAGAGATTCCTGAGTTACCCTGATCCCTCTTGGTCCCGGTCCTGGCGCCGATCCTCGAGCCTCGTGGCTGGGCCCTGCCCTCGTGGGGCCCTCGGTGTGGCCGGCCCCTGGCCCCTCGAGTGTCGGCCACTCGGCCCGCCAGCAATGGGCACGGAAAAGCGGGTAAGATGCCCAACGCCAAAGGTCATCCCAAACCGACAGCAACCGCTGTTGGACAGGCGAGCCTGTGTCTCGGATGGGCAAGGGCCTCGGCGACGCAGACGGCGAAGCCTGTCAAAAATGAGTAGGACTTGCTGTCAGTCTTCGTTCCCATGCGTTCCGTGCCCGTCCCAACCGTGCCGAGTTCTGGGAAGTTCCGATCCTCGAATTCTCGCACGGGGGCCCTGCCCTCGTGGGGCCATCGGCGTGGCTGGCCGCCGGCCTCTCGAACCTCGACCCTGGGAGTAAGTCGGGCCTGTCCCTCTACAGGGGGAATTGTCAAATACACACACACACACCACACACACATATAGATGGATGAATACCAGGTCCCAAGCCCGGGGGCCCCGCCCACCTCAAAACCATCGGGCCCCCTTTTTTAATACCTCCGCCCTGGCGCCTCCAAGGGGCCTCCAGACGGCCCAGGAGGCCTCCAGGAGGCCTCCAAAACGGCCCCAGGAAGCACCCAAGATGTCCATGAGGGCTCCGAGACGCCACAAGATCGGTCCAAGAGAGTCAACATAGTCCCTAGACGGCCCTTGAGGCTTCCAAGACGCCCCATGAGGCCTCCAAGAGGCTTTTTCAAGAGGGCCACAAACGGCTAAACATGGTTGTTTGTTTTCGATGGTGTCGGAGGATGTGTTGTGGTTCTCACCTGTGCGGCTTCCCGACGCTCCAAGATAGCCGCAGAGGCTCCCGAGATCGCCCAAAGACGGTCCAAGAGGCTCCCAAGGTGGCCCCAAGACAGCCCGAGAAGGATCCAAGCAGCCCAAGAGGCCTACAGGACAGTCCAAGATAGCCCCAAGACGGCTCTAAGAAGGCGCCCAGACAGTGAGACCAAACGGACCTTTCGAGCCTTCGGCCCCAAGAAGCCCCTAGGAGACTCCAAGAAGCGCCCATGAGGCCCCCAAGCCGCCGCCAGAAGCCCCCGAAGGGCTCCCAAGATGCATGTCGCAGGTGCACGACAAACAGATCCCACGGACCATGTTGGTGCGTTCTCCCCATGCGGAGGAGGACGCGCAAGGGCCCTGGGTCCTCGAAAAGCCGTGACGGAGTCGCTAGCCGTGATGTGTTCCACGACGACGCCAGGTCCTGACGTATTGCGGCCGACAGGCAACCACGCGTGAGACCCAGCTACCCCTGCAGGTCAGAACCCTGTTCGGACGGGGCTAGGACGAGGACAAATCCGTTCCAGAGCGTTCCAGAACGCTCTCAGAGCGTTCTGGAATGATCTGACAAGGCCGCGGCGTCCGATACGTTCCCCAGATCCGCCCGAGCTCAGAGATTCTCAATTTGTCCGTACCCGATGTTATCTTCATCCTAGTTTCGTCTTACGTTTCTTTTCTCGTCGCTCAGCTACCGATCCTCGAACCTCGCATCATCGAGAACAAAAGAACCCCCAAACCTTATGACACGATGAACATGTGGCCTCGCTGCGGCCCCCGTTTCCGCTGTAGGGATAAGTAAGCTAGGCGTTTGGCCTGATACATTTGCAGAAATGACCCCCTATCCCTCATGTTCTTGGCTCTCCTAGCTCAGGTCCCCTGCCAAAGGATTAGAGGCACTTCTATTGTTTATGATCGCGCAGGGGCTCTCCCCTCCTGGGGCCCTTCCTTTGCGGCGGGCCGCCCGGCCCTTGCCGCCGCCGGGGAGGCGCGCTGCTCCTCCTGCCGGCGCGGCCGGGGGCCGACGCGCCCGCGGAGCCTACGCTGGCGGGCATGCTGGAGAAGATCAGCTCAGGCGCGGGGGACGAGGGGTGAGGGGGAGGAGGATCGAGGATCGAGGAGGAGGAAGGTCGAAGAGGAGGAGGAGGAGGAGGAGGAGGAGGCGGATGAGGAGGAGGAGGAGGAGGAGAAGGAACACCAAGGGGGGATATCGATGATCGGGGAGGAGGAGGAAGAGGAGGAGGAGGAGGAGGAGGAGAGAGGAAAAGGAGGAGGAGGAGGAGGAAAAGGAGGAGGAGGAGGAGGAGGAGTCGTCACGCGAGATTTCGGAAGGGCCCAAGGGGCGTTCCAAACCCCAGGGGGGTCACCAGATCCACAAGAAAGCGTCTCCGAGTCTCCCCGACTGAGTCCCCCCCTCCCCTCTCCCCCGCCCCAGGGTGACCGCCCACCCCAGACCCTAACGTAATGATTTGTTCCGCGGCGTGGACCCCCCAATGCCTCGACTCTTGCCAGCGCGTCCACCATTCCCCGTGCATTGTTCGGTTTTGTACGTGCTTGTTTTGCTCGTGTTTGTTTTGTGGAAGGGCGAGGGGGAGGAGGAGGAGGAGGAGGAGGAGGAGGAGGAGGAGGAGGAGGAGGAGGAGGAGGAGTCGCCTCGAGGAAGAGGAGGATCCAGGAGGAGGAGGGTCGAGGAGAAAGAGGAGGAGGACCACCAAGGGGGAATATCGATGATCGGGGATGAAGAGAAGGAAGATGAGGAGGAGGAGGAGGAGGAGGAGAATGAGGATGAGGAGGAGGAGGAGGAGGAGAATGAGGAGAAGGAGAAGGAGGAAAAGGAGGAGGAGGAGGAGGAAGGAGGAGGAGGAGGAGAAGGAGGAGGAAAAGGAGGAGGAGGAGGAGGAGGAGAAGGAGGAGGAGTCACGCGAGATTTCGGAAGGGCCCAAGGGGCGTGCCAAACCCCAGGGGGGTCACCAGATCCACAAGAAAGCGTCTCCGAGTCTCCCCGACAGAGCCCCCCCTCCCCTCTCCCCCGCCCCAGGGTGACCGCCCATCCCAGACCCTAACGTAATGATTTGTTCCGCGGCGTGGACCCCCCAAGGCCTCGACTCTTGCCAGCGCGTCCACCATTCCCCGTGCATTGTTCGGTTTTGTACGTGCTTGTTTTGCTCGTGTTTGTTTTGTGGAAGGGCGAGGGGGAGGAGGAGGAGGAGGAGGAGGAGGAGGAAGAGGAGGAGGAGGAATCGCCTCGAGGAAGAGGAGGATCCAGGAGGAGGAGGGCCGAGGAGAAAGAGGAGGAGGACCACCAAGGGGGAATATCGATGATCGGGGAGGAGGAGGAGGAAGATGAGGAGGAGGAGGAGGACGATAATGAGGAGGAGGAGGAGGAGGAGGAGGGAGGAGGGAGGAGGAGGAGGAGGAGGAGGAGGAGGAGGATGAGGAGTAGGAGGAGGAGGAGGAGGAGGATCGAGGATCGAGGAACGGGCGCCGAGGGGGGAAAGGTCAGGGGCAACGCTGGGGACGGGGATGAGGTTCGAGATGCCAGGCTCGAGGATTTCGTGCACTTCTTTGTTTCCTGGCGGGCTTCCAACCTCGGGATGCGTTCCAGCAGCTTCGCCTCGCCGCGAGCGTTAAGTCGGGAGGAATATTCAAAAGTTAGTAGAACAACGAAAGAAAGAGTCTGGGGACTTTTTTATATGTCGCACCATTTTGGAATATTGTTTGTCTACTTTTTATTTTCCTCCAACATCCCCCTGTAGGGGGACAGGCCCGACTTAACGCGAGCGTTCCAGGGGTGCCCAAGGCGCCCCAGACCGCCGTCGGACGCCCGCGTTGCTACCCGACACAGGACACAACCAGGCGTCGAGGAGGTGGACGAGGACTCGGGAAGTGTGGACAGCACGGCGGGGCGATTTTCGAGAAGATCCGGTCGAGCGCGGGGCGGGAGGGGGAGGGAATGGAAGGGGGCTTGGCATGATCCAGGCCTCCCAAATGGGCCAGAGCAAATGGGGTCGGAGGATCGCGCCTCATCGTAGACGCATCGGCGATGCGGCTCGATATGTAACCCGACTGTATCCACGCTGTCGCCGATGCGTCGCAGATGCATCGACGATTCTCTGACTTGGACCCCAGGTGGGATGGGGGGTCAGGAGTCGGGGTGTGCGGATAATCAATGAGCTCGGCGGCGAGCGAGGGGGGGAAGTGAGCAGCAGAAGGCTCAGAAGGCGGCGGGGCTTCTGAGAAGGCCTCTGGCCTTCTGAGAAGTTTTCTGTGTCTTCGGGGAAGGCTTAAACAACAACTCAGAAGGCCAGAGAACGTCCGAGCCTTCTGAGAAGTTATGCCCCCTCTCAATTTCCCCCCAAGCGCGCAGCCTATCAACGGGGCCCAGATTTAATAGGCTCCGCTTCTTCTTTCAGTAGCGTGCCCCAGCACCCCTCCTCATTCGCGTACATGCCTCGGGCACACGTGGGAGTGGAGGGAGGGAAAGGAGGCAAGGGGCAGCGCGGCGCCGTGGAGATCCCTATGGTACGGCATGAGAGGCAGCACCGCCAATCCCCGAGAGGATCATATCGGGTGCGGAGGCAGGAGGAGGAGGAGGCGGAAGAGGAGGAGGAGGCGGAGGCGGATGCGGAGGCGGAGGAAGAGGAGGAGGACGACGACGAAGAAAGGTTGGCGAGAGGGCAGAAGAGGAGGTTTGAGGATCGAGGTTATCCGTAAGGGCTTCGCCCCATGCCGCCGGCCCCCTGTCTCGGATAATGGGAGATGCATACGTTAAATCATGAGGTCTGGGCGCGGCCGTGAAGCAGTGTCGGGACCTGTTTGTTTTTCCCAACCCTCCTGCGTTGGGTACTCGTTTTGAATAGAGCACTGCGGTCTCCACCTTCCTTCCTTCCCGCCTCCTCCTCTCTTCCCTCTTCCTCTCCTCTCTTGCTTCCCTTCTCCGCCTCTCTTCGCTCCTCCTCTTCTCTCTTGCATCCCTTCTCCTCTCTTCGCTCCTCCTCTCTTGCTTCCCTTCTCCTCTCTTCGCTCCTCCTCTTCTCTCTTGCCTTTTACGTCATCCCTTTGGGGCTGCGATCTGTGAAACTGTCGCCACTTTCGAGGGCTGCTGGTGGGTCCAGCGGAGTGAGGCACCACGCAGATTCAGATTAGACCTCGCCATCCCTGGGGGGCTGCGATCTGCGAAACTGTCACCACTTTCGAGGGCTGCTGGTGGGTCCAGCGGAGTGAGGCACCACGCAGATTCAGATTAGACCTCGCCATCCCTGGGGGGCTGCGATCTGCGAAACTGTCGTCACTTTCGAGGGCTGCTGGTGGGTCCAGCGGAGTGAGGCACCACGCAGATTCAGATTAGACCTCGACTTTCGAGGGCTGCTGGTGGGTCCAGCGGAGTGAGGCACCACGCAGATTCAGATTAGACCTCGCCATCCCTGGGGGTTTGCGATCTGCGAAAACTGTCGTCACTTTCGAGGGCTGCTGGTGGGTCCAGCGGAGTGAGGCACCACGCAGATTCAGATTAGACCTCGCCGTCCCTGGGGGGCTGCGATCTGCGAAACTGTCGTCACTTTCGAGGGCTGCTGGTGGGTCCAGCGGAGTGAGGCACCACGCAGATTCAGATTAGACCTCGCCATCCCTGGGGGGCTGCGATCTGCGACACTGACGCCACATTCGAGGGCTGCTGGTGGGTCCAGCGGAGTGAGGCACCACGCAGATTCAGATTAGACCTCGCCATCCTTGGGGGGCTGCGATCTGCGAAACTGTCGCCACATTCGAGGGCTGAGGGTGGGTCCAGCGGAGTGAGGCACCACGCAGATTCAGATTAGACCTCGCCATCCCTGGGGGGCTGCGATCTGCGACACTGACGCCACATTCGAGGGTTGCTGGTTGCGAACCTGTCGCCACATTCGAGGGCTGCTGGTGGGTCCAGCGGGGTGAGGCACCACTCAGATTCAGATTAGACCTCGCCATCCCTGGGGGGCTGCGATCTGCGAAACTGTCGCCACATTCGAGGGCTGCTGGTGGGTCCAGCGGAGTGGGCACCACGCAGATTCAGATTAGACCTCGCCATCCCTGGGGGTCTGCGATCTGCGAAACGGTCACCACTTTCGAGGGCTGCTGGTGGGTCCAGCGGAGTGAGGCACCACGCAGATTCAGATTAGACCTCACCATCCCTGGGGGGGTTGCGATCTGTGAAACTGTCACCACTTTCGAAGGCTGCTGGTCAGTCCCGCGGAGTGAGGCACCACCCAGATTCAGATTAGACCTCGCCGTCCCTGTGGGGCTGCCATTCTGGGAAACTGTGGCTCTTCGCCATCGAGGAGGTCAGCATGGTGTCGCCGAACCTCTTCAACATGCTGGCCTACCGCGCATTCCTCGCCAGGCGCGCAAAACGCAACCTGCAGGAGGCGCACTACCTGCATCCCAGAAGCGCCTTCGGCCGCGTCCCCATCGTGATATACCTCGGGGACTTCCTGCAGCTGAAACCTACCGGCTCCGGCATGTCACTGCTGACCGACCTGCAGCGGTTGGGGTCCGCCGACAGTCGGAAGGAGGGGCCGCCCGTCGAGCACCAGACGGCAATGACGTTCTTCTGCGACACGAAACTGTGCTTCGAGCTCCAGGCCACCAACCGCTTCAAGGACCCCGATCTTGCCGATCTCATGAACTACATGCGCAAGCCGAAGAAGGGCAAGGTCCCTCAGAAGATCGCGGAGACCTGGAGACGCATTCAGATGAAGCCCAACGACCCCCGACTGGGCGAGGAGCGGTTCCAGACTGGACACATGATCGCCTGGTTCTGGGACACCGTGGCTCGGTGGATGATGATGCGGGCGAGGAGGGACGCCGCGTCCCTCGGGCGGGTGCTCTACCTCGTCCAGGCAGCCGACAAGTCCTCGCCCTCGCTGCCCGTGGACCTGGCCGCGAAGCTGGTCAACCGCGTCAACCCGGGCGACCGGGCGGCATTCACGGGATGCTGCCGCTGCACGTGGGCATGCGCATACGCCTGCTGGAGCACCTGGACCTCGACAAGGGGCTCGTCAAGGACGCCGAGGGCGAGGTCGTGCACGTGGCCATCAACCCGAAGGATGAGGGCGTGGTGGAGAGAGCGAAGGCCGAGGGAGGTCGGGCGTACCTGCGGTACCTGCCGTACGGCGTGTGGGTGCGCATGGACAAGTACAAGGGTGGTCCCTGCGGAAAGAAGCTCAAGGAGCTCGATGACAGCATCGACGCTGCGAACGCAGCGGGCCTCGTCTTCATCGAGCCACAGAGCTCGAGCCCGTTCGACTTCCGCAAGTACAAGGTCACGCGCACTGGCTTCGTCATCTCCCACGCCGAGGTCCTGACGTCCACTGCCTGCCAGGGCCGCACCACGCACCGCGGAGTCATTGTTGACGCAGGGTGCAAGGATGCGAACGACCTGGACGCTCTGTGGCTGCACCTCTACGTGATGCTGTCCAGGCCGACGACGATAGACAGCCTACTGATGGCGCGCGACCCCGGCCTTGACTTTCTTGCCCGCGGCCCACCGGCAGACCTTGCGGAGAAACTGCGGAAGTTCAGTTCTCGCACTGCATCATGCAGGAAGGAGGCAGAGAAGCTGGCGCGTGAGCTAGGTCTCGATCGCTTCCTGCACTAGATATAAACAGGTATGATCCTGTGGACAGGCAGCAGGCATGCGTTGACCGAGCTCCTGCAAAAACGAAACAGTCTCTTGCTTCCTCCCTCCTCTTTCATCGTCGCCGCCCTAGTCCTCCTGTTACCTTATGCATTCATGGTGCTGCTGCTGCGATGGCTCCTCGCCCCTTCCTACTGGGTTCGTCCTTCTCCTGTCCCTCGTTCCCGCCCCCGCTATTGTTTAACAAGCCTTGAGACATACTCCTCGTCTTATCGATTGCTGTTCTGTGAGTCGTGCAACATTATGCATCCCATGTAGGTCGCGCTACAAATCGCCGCGCCTGCACTGTCACGGTTCCTGCTAACGTTTCCCTACTCCGCTTGCCACTTGATGCCATTGGGTTGGGTACGTCGCAGGGTAATTGGATCCTGACACCGCCGATCTGCGTGAGGGGTTGCCACCGAATGTTAGAAATGTGGCAAATCCCCTGTGTTTTTTGGATCCTGACCCCGCCGATCTGCGTGAGGGGTGCCAGCGAATTTCAGAAATATGGCAAGTCCTATTTGTTTTTGGATCCTGACCTCGCCGATCTGCGTGAGGGGTTGCCACCGAATGTTAGAAATGTGGCAAATCCCCTTTGTTTTCGGACCCTTACCCGCCGATCTGCGCAATTTTTACCCACCCCAACAATGCAGGTATGGCAAGATATGGGGTTGCACTTTCGGTGGCACCTCTCCGACTCCAGCCCCTTTTTTTTCCGACTCCGGCTCGCACCTCTCGGATTCCAGCCCCTTAGGCACCGTCATCTTCCCAGCTCTTTCCGACTCCGGATCAGTTACCGTCTCCGACTCTTTCCGACTCCCGCTCTTACCGCGCCGATTCCGGCTGCTTCTGAGCGGCCAACCCTTATCGGCGCCGTGGCTCCCACCCGCCGCCCCCCTCGTAGGTGCCTCGGCGCGGGTTCTGTCTTTGTCTGTCTGTCTGCCCCAGCAATTCAGAGCACACGCTCAGGGCGTGCTAAACCTGCCCGTTTGGGCCTTCCCCCCTCGCGCGGTGCATCAACAAGGAACAGTAAGCAACAAGAAGCACAACTGTACTGTAAAAGTGGAAACTGGGAACAGCAGCTGGTACAGGAAATTGCGAACCTTCGGCCTGCAGTCTAATGGCCCCACAAGGGGGCCGGCAAATTGGTCGCTTCTGGTCCCTTCGGGCCTAGGGAGGCCTCCAGAGGCCTCCCGAGAGCCATGCATATGGACACCTCTGGCCTTTTTCCGGCGACCTTAGCTCACCGACCTCGTGTTTGTTCGGGTCCGAGATGCACGGGGTCGTGACAAGCCACGACAGGCACCCAGACAGGCGGAGAGACACTAGAAACCCCTGTCCGATCTCGGCACCCAGAGGTTCGGGCCCCCTGGGCCACCCAGCAGCGGCCGGGATGACGAGACGGTCCCCGCAGGACTTGGGGGTCGCGCAGTGGGGGGGGAGGAGAAGAGGGGGGGGAGCAGCGGGTGCTGCAGAAAAGGGGCCCTGTAGGGCCCTTAGAGGGGCCGCTTCGGGCCCACAGGGGAGCAGGAATGGGCCGAGGGGGCACCGTGGGTCACGAGCAGGGGCACCGACGGGGAGGGGGAGGAGAGCCGGGTGCGGAGGAGGAAGGAGGCGAAGATCTCGGTGGCCCCGAAATGGGGTGGTGAACACACCGTGCGGTGAGTCGGTGGGGATTCGGGGTCACCGCACGGTTTTGGGACTCGGGTCGTTCTCCGAGGACGTCTCGGGCGACTGGGGCCTCCGAGGTCCCAAGACCGTGCGGTGACGGACCGTGCGGTGAGGTCTTGGGGGATTTCGAGGTCACCGCACGGTCTGTCACCGCACCGCTTCGAGACTCCAAAAGATCGGCGAAGAGCCCGGGGGAAGGCAGAGGAGGCGGGCCTTCTCAGAAGGCTCGGAGGGCCCAGGCCGTCTGAGAAGTTGTCGAAGCCTTCTCCAAAGGAAGAGACGCCTTCTCAGACGGGCGGAGGGCTTCTGCGAAGCCCAGCCGCCTTCTGCTTCTGAGAAGGCCTGCCACCTATGGCTTCCCCTTGGGCTCGCCACCGAAAGGAGCTGAATCTGGAGCTGTGAGTTGAAAGGAGAAGCAGCACAAAAACATTTAACTTTCGTAGGCCCGCTGGGATCGCCTGGGTCTGTGCTCCATGGAGGGGACTTCAGCGCGGACCCACGGACGAAAGTTCGATCATTGTTCCCACCCGACAGGTCAGGGATGTGAGATTCAGAGGGAACAGCTCACGACCTGCCCCGCACACCCGGTGTACCGCGGCAGCCAGGCCCCAGGGGTCCCGGTGCTCCCTGTGTATCCCGCCTCGCGTCTTCGACCAATGACGATTGTGTAGCGCGCCCGCCAGGCCCCGAGGTGCCAGTGGGCCCGATGCTCCCTTGGGATCCCGCCTCACGGTCTCAGGTGGGGACCGCTCTGAGCAACACATAATTTGTTGATGTGTAGTTTTAGCTTCTTCAGGCTATGGAGGAGCAGGAGCAGGAGCAGAGAGAGGATGCCCCACAACAAGTGCCGTGTTGCAGAGGGTCGTGAGCGGAGGAGGGCGGGGGGACGAGGAAGTAACACCAAAGCGGCCGTCGGCGTCGGTGGAGCGCAGGCAAAGCGGACAACAACTTCTTCCACGGCATGGTCGTCATGGGCACGCTGAAGGACGAGAAGGAGGCGGCGGCGGGGTGCATCCTCGACAAGATAGGCTCGCAGGGTGGGCGAATCGGGCCGGCTGCGGCGAGGAGGGGCGTCGGATCCTCGAGTCATGGCCACCTCGTTCGTCTGAAGGCGCCGGCAAAGCCCGCTGCATGCGGCTGATTCCTTGACCCGCACTTCACTACCCTCGCCCCTTGGTCCGCGCCGGGAGGAGGAGGAGGAGGAGGAGGAGGAGAAGGATAAGCCAAGCGGGGGGAAGTCAAGCGCGACCCACCGCCGCAGGATTCAGGCGATCGCAAACATGGATTAAGGGGGCGTGGATTAGCGATGGGTCCCGTTTCCATGGGAAATCGCGGATTGCCGCCGCCGAGCGAGGCCGCGCCGGCCGCATGTTGGGAAGGGCCCCCCCCCCGATCCATGGATTTGGCGACCGCGCGCCAAATCCATGGATCGCTAATCCATGTTTGCGCGCCCCCGAAGGACGGCGAACCTCCCCGCGCTTGGACACTCTCCACACGCCGCTCCCTCCTCGCACCGGGCGCACGCGTGCGCGACCTGTTCTGCTCTTGCAGAGAAAGAAGGGGAGTGCGGACGTCGATGCATGTGTGTGTGTGTCTTGCTTAGGATAGCATGCGAATCGCAGAAAATATTCGGTTTCGTGGCATGCAAAGGCAGGTGTGCCCACTGGGGGCCACACAGCCCGATGGGTGGTTTTCAGACAAAATTATGTCTTTGAAAGCTCGGCGGGGCACATCAGGGCGTGGAGGTGTGTCGAAATAACGTTCGACCCACGAAACGCAGTGCTTTCTAGCGTTGGCGAGGAAGGCGGGCTGACCACGAGATGTCCCCTGGAACGGCTTTCCTCTCAGAGGCCTCCTCAGGGGGCCGAACGGTGCCACACCAGCGCGTCATGACATCCATCATCAAGACGAAAGTCCTTCGATGATGCGCGACCCAATACACATGCGGAGGGCCAACCTTCCATGGACCAGTGCTGGGTTAGGACGCCATGGCGCACATCCTTTGGAGCACCAGGCGCACCGGCGTAACATGATATCGGTGGGCCACACCATCGCGTCAGGAGAACCATTATCATGAGGATGTTCATGCGACGAGACATTCGTGGGTGCACATGCAGACGGCCAGTGTCCCATGTGTACCAATCGCTCTGCGACACCAGCGCGTCATTGCAGTCACAATCATGATGATATCCCTGCTACGGCGACACACGCATAAAGGGCGATCGTTGGGTCCGAGGCGCACAAGTCGCCAGCGTGCGTTGGTACCTCCTGCTTTGGCAGATGCCAAATCGGTCGCGCTCTCGATGGGGGAAGACGGCGCCTGTAGTTCAGGCGAAGTGCTGCTCGAATCACGTAATGCAATGTTTTCTCGCTGCGATACCGAAAAGGAAATGTCCACGACCTCGCCCTCATAATGGTTTCCCGTCAAACGGGCTCTTAAGGGAGCCGAACGGTCTTACACAATTTGGGATCGGTGTTGAATGAAGACTCCTTGTTGCATACTTTCGGCAGCCCAGATTGTCATGAGATCGGTGTGCCACACCAGCGCATCATGGAACCCATCGTCATGACGATGGTCTTGCGATGATACACGAGTGACTACACATGCGGAATGCCAGCTTTCCATGACACCGGCGTGCCACACCAGCGTGTCATGACATTCATGATTATGAAGATGGGGGTGATGGTGATGGTCCTGCGACGAAACATTATTGGATTCACGTGCGGAGCGCCAGCGTTCCATTTGTATCATCGCTCTGCCACACCAGCGTGTCAGAATGTTCGTCATTCAAGGCGATGCCCGGCTTCGACGACACACGCAACATATATGCAATGGAGACGTCTGGGGCGCATAAGTCGGCAGCGTCCGTTGCTACCTTTTGCCTTGGGCAGAGGCCAGGCGGGTCGCGCACGCGTGTGCCCAGAGCCTCCCTTTTCCTCGCATCCTTCTCCTCTTCCTCCTTCTCCTCCTCTTTCTCCTCCTTGGCCTCCTCCTTCTCCTCGCCTCCTCTTCCTCCTCCTCCTCCTCCTTCTCCTCCCCCAAAGCGACAAACGACGAATTACAAACGACGAGCGACGAGCGACAAACGACGACCAAGGACCGACGACCAACGACCGACGGGGAACCTGTCGGGCATCGGTGGGCGAGGGCCCTCTTGGGTTGGACAGACGGGCGGGACTGCGAGGTGTCCTGACGTCAGGGGGGAGGCCCTTGCGCCGTCCCATCCTGGCGACCGTTAGGCCCTCGCGCAGCCGCCGCCTCGCTCGTTTTTGTTGCTATCGCCATCCGCCGTTGCGCCAGCAACCACACACTCGCAGGCGACCGCAAAACAGTGATCAAGGCGGCGTGAGTTGACGTCGTGTCCCGTTTCCATTGGAAATCGCTGATTTCCGCCGCCGAACGAGGCGGCATACATAAAGAACATGCAGAGAGAGAGAGAGAGAGAGAGGAGGAACAGGAGAAGGATGAGGATGAGGATGAGGAGGAGGATGGGGAGGAGCGGGAGGGCGGAGGGGGAGGGACCCGCAGCAGCATCAAGCCTGGACACGTGAACAGGGACTCCTAGCGTCGCGGCTCCCGGTTTGCCGCGGGGCGCGCGCGCGTGCTTTGCCCTGTGGGTTCCGCTGGCGGCAGCCCAGGGGTCCACGCCGGGACTGGCAAGGCAGGAGGCGCGCACCAGGGGTTGGTGCGAGTGCGAGTCGGAGGAAAGAGAGGCTGCACCAGCACTGCCATGAAGTCGGGCATGTCCCTCTACAGAAGGACCTTTCAAGACTAGTACAAAGTAGTCTGGTGGCGATGTTTCGTGGTCTTTATCATATCATTGACTAATGGTTTATTTTTTGCTTTCTTCTAAAATCCGACTTCAGGAGGACATGCCCGACCTAACTCTTCCAGGGGGTCACCTCCAGAGAGCGGGTCCGCGGGCCACCCCCAGGGATACTTGAGCGACAGGGGGGGGCCACACCACCAGGAGGACACCCCCTGGTGCCTCGCACTGTGCTGCTGGTGGGATCGCTGCCTCCTGCTCCCAACGCTGGGACTGATTGGCAACAGCCCGGCGGCGCGCAGGGGGGGTTCTGGCGTGACGGGGGTGGCTTTCCAAGAGGCCACCCCGCATGTCGGAGGGCGTTGTGCCCCCTGCGATAAGACAACGGTGTTCAGCTCAAGTGCGACAAAAAAACACGGTACATGACACAACAAGTGCGAAAGCATGTCATGCTCAAGCGTTCGAGCCCTTCCAGGTCCCTCCTCCCGGCCTTCTCGTTCTAGCCTAAAAGCAACCGCCCCACTCCGAAAACGCCAGCGGTACAACAAGACGCAGGCTCTTTTTTTGGATTGTGGGGAGAGATTAGGGGCAGGGCTTGTTTGGCGTGGGGAGCAACGGCAAACGCAAACCATGCCCCGATTTTGTCTTAGCCGATTCTCGAAACCGCCGCGCGCTCCCGTGCTGTTTCTCCTCCCTGCTGTTCCTCCCGCGTGCTCCTTCCTGCTCCTTCCTGCTCCTCGCTGATCCCCGCTGCCTTCCCTGATGGCTTGCATGCGCCAGAGTGTGTGTCTTGATATGTAATGGGTTTCTAGGGTGGGTGGGATGTGAGCACCGAGCCAGTGTGTGACACTTCCAGTATTTTGGCCGTGAGGACTAAGGGGGGTGATGACTGATGGGTGTGATTGATGACTGATGGGCGGCGGGGTCTGGCTGACCCAAAAGGGGGTCCAGCGAACAGAGAGGGTGGTACGACAGATTCGGTGCAGTAGATTTGTGGTATTGCAATGGATTTTGGGCGTGCAATGCATCCTGGTGCGCAAATGTGTTGCTGGATTGTCGCGTACAGTACATTCGTGGCGCAGTACACTTGCGATACAATTGTCCCAAATCTATATTGCACCACCCCCTTTCAGCTGGATTCCTTTTTGGGTCAACCAAAGGGGGGGCGACATCATGGTTTGAGCCATGGCATTTCCCCAGATTTCATGGCCCCCGCTTCTTCTTCCATCATGTGCCCTCGTTCCCCCGTCTGCGCACATGTCTCTGGCCATACGTTGCGGACCCCCCTCTATGGCGCTCCCGTCTTGGACGTCTCCGACTTGGGCCGCGGGGTCTCGGTCTTGAGCGGATTCTGAATATATACCGAGGATCGGGAAGCCGCAGCGCGAGGGCACCTGGCAGCTTCGGGGAATGCCCCCGGCAGCCTCCGCGGGGGATCCCTGGCAGCGGGGATGTGCCAGGTTTCGAGCGGATCGCGCGGCTACTGACCAGATCCCGAGCCATCGTACGCGGGCGGGCAGTTGATCAGAGTCCAAGCTCGGGTCGGACGAAAAGGGGGGGGGATATGGCCGGTCAGGGGTTACGACATTTGCTGCTCCCAGCCGCGTTCCTCGATTCGCTGGCGCCTCTGGCGCCGAGATGCGTGAGCTGATGTGCTAGACTCCTTTCGTGTTCGCCTCCGTTTCGTCCGACTCGTGTCGATTTGATCGCACGGCAACCGATCAGAGCCACAGACAGGCCAGAGCCCAGACCCAGGCCTCCCGAACGGGGTCGGGGGGTCGCGCCGCATCGCTGGTGCATCTGCGATGCGGCCAGATGTGGTTCCCGCTTTTCTCCGGGACGACGGCGCGGACGCATCGGCGATACAATGGCGATGCGGTGCGATCCTCTCGGTGTCGGCAACCCTCCATTAGTCCCTACAGCGTGGTGTTAGGGACTTTCTCGAGTGACTCGGAGCCCATGTGGGAGATCTCCACCCACAGCACGGCTTTGATCCTCTCACTCACTCGGTGCGCCTCACTCACTCGGTGCGCTTGACCCGCGCTGTATTCTTGTGTGGACTTGGGGTTTGGACGCCTTCAGGCTCCAGGGGTCTTGTCGTGCGCCCCTCGCCATCCTGGAGGTCCTCCCTCCAGGTGCGCAGTTTCAGAGACTTGGTGCGCTGCCGCATATGGTCAGATCGTGTTCTTACCATGTGTTCCCCCGCAGGCGCGATCGTCAAGGAGAACGGAGTGAGGGAGTTCGCGAACGATCTGCAGGTTGATCTTGCGGCGTGCTGCACAAAGGACACGGATGACTGCGTGCCGGACGTCACGGAGGCGTATGGTGTCCTGACCCAGGCTGTGTGTGGGGGCGGTTGGGTCTCACTCCCATCTGCCCGCGTGAGGTTTTTTTTTCGGGTAATACTAACGATCGTACTGGGTGGGGGGGCCTGAACCGCCCCCCTACAAGCTTTGGTACACCAGGCGATTGATGACACGGTGGCGCAGATTTCCGAGATTTCCTGGCGGGTGCACGCTGCGGCCGCCGGTGTTGTTACCTTTCCGCCTGACCCCCCCCCGGTAACGACCGTTACCCGAGAAAGAAACATGAACGGCCCCCGCCATTCTGTGTACTTTTCAGTTTCGCCCTTCTCGAATACCTTTCTCAACCGCCACATCCTCCATATGCTCCTTTCTAGGGTGCCCCCCCCTCCACTCTCTCTGCCGTTGCCATCGTTGTCGCGCTCGTCGTCGGCGAGGCTGCCGCTGACGCCGCTGTCGTCGTCATCGTTGTCGGCCTTGTCGACGTCGCCATCGCTGTCGCCTTCGACGGCTTCGGTGACGTGGTCGCCCGCGCCCTGAGTGTCGATCGACCCCCTCGAGCCCAGGCACGCTGGCGTCCTGGTCCGGGCCCGGGCACGGGTTGCGGACGGCGCGCGGGTGGGCGACCCGCCCGCCGCGGCGGATGCACGGACTTGCCTCCCGTGGCCGCCGCCGCCGCGCGACCCCCCGAACCCTACCCTCGCCGATCAACGATTCTGGCAACTCGTGTGGGCCGCGGGGGCAATGGCTCGGAATTGGTCGGGCCCGTGGCAGAATCCGACTCCCCCCCCACACACCCCGTCTCCTGTCGGTTTTCCGAAGGATCGACGGGTGGTGGGAGCATGGCTCGGACGCCTCCGCCCAGCGCCACACACGGGGCAGGCGGGCGTGAGACAGAGCCGCGCGGTGCGGCCTGCTCGTGGGCACGCGGCGCGCCCCTTTTCCAGTCGACGTGCGCGCCTGTGCGCGCGCGCCGCGGCCTTCTTCGTGGGCGCGCGGCACCCCGGGCCGGCCACGGCCCCCCCCCCGCCTCGAGCGGCTGCGGGCCCCGGGCAGCAGCCGCGCGCGCAGCGCCGCCCCGTCGCTCCGCAGCCGTGGGCTCTCTCCCGCGCGCAGCGCGAGACCGCCCGCCGCGGCGGTAGCGCCGCGGGCCCTGCCCGCGTGCGCCGCTGCGGCAGGCAGCCGCGCGCCACGGCCGCTGGGGCTGCTCGCCGCGGCCGAGGCGCCGCTTGGTGGCTGCAGGCGCACGCCACCCGCCGAAGCCACACGCACGGAAGGCGACCTCCAGCCTCCTCACCATTCTCGTTCTCATCCTTCTCCTCCTCGGTTCCTCGCCTCACCCGGCGGCATCCTGCCTCGCCTCACCCAGGCGCACGTTTCGAGTGTCCAGGGCCTCCCAAGAGAGGCAAGAGGTATACTATGCGCCGCCGTCCCCTGTCCGAAGAGGGACATCGTGTCCGAGGCCCCTCTTCGACGATGTGTCACAGCTCAGGCCCTCGACGCCCTAGAGAAACAGAGAGTTGGAGGGTGCCTCCCGCTCCAAGGCTTGGGTGGTCCCCAGCATCCCTCCTCTCCTCGTGCACTGCTGGCCCCCTCAGAGGCTGCCCAACCTCCGTCCTCCTCCCGCCTTGTGGAAAGAAAGCGCGCGTCCACCCCTCACCTGGCCCCCCCTGCCCCTTCTGGGGGCTGGGCCAGAGGGCTTCGAAGCTCGATTAGGGGGATACCTCGCAGAAGAAGCGGCGCAGAGAGTACTCCCACCTCTATCGCCCCATCGTCCTCTGGGGACGGGAACCAGGTGAGCGACGCAGCATAACGGGCTAGTTTTTCTTCACCGACATTGGCGCGTAAGCTGTCCGCGTGAAGTTGCGCGTAAGCGCCCTCGTCTCCAATGTGGCGCGCAACGTTGGCTGCCCGCGTGAGCTGCCGCGTAAGGTCGCTACGCCATCTCGCTTAGGACACTGTTGTCGTCGCTCAGGTGGAGGTGGTGTCGGCGTCACCCCATCATACTGATACTATGCGTGCGTCGCCCCCCCCCCTCTGGGGGCGACTCGCGCACCGAGAAGTCTGATAGTATGTTCGTCGTGGCGGCCGCTTTCTGGCCGCACCGCTCGGAAAACGACATACTACAAAATGGGTATACTGCATGTTCGGGTCGGGCACGCGCCTCCAAGCGGAAGGCATAAATCAGGAGGGGAAAAGCAGACACAGACAATTAATCGTCGATGCCCCAGAAAATATTGGAACATATGGGAAGTGCGGGGGAAGACAAAAGCACAGAACATATGTACAAATATGGGGAAGCCTGTTCTTCGCGGGCGTCAACGCAGACGGGTGTCAGTCAGAGCGCCGGATCCTGCAGGACCCTGCAGGGCCAGCCAGGAGTGCACTGACCCGGGCTAGGAGGAGGAGGAGGAGGAGGAGCAGGAGGAGGAGGAGGAGGAGGAGGAAGAGGAGGAGGAGGAGGAGGAGGGAGGAGGAGAAAGAGGAGGAGGACCCTGCAGGCTCTTGCAGGGCCCGACTGACCAGGGTCAGCAGACCGCCGAATCTATTGCTTCGCCGATCGGCGCGGGTCCCTGATGGGCTTGTTTTCCACCACCACCACCACCATAAATTGGAGGGGGAGGGGGTCCTCCTCCTCCACCTCCTCCTCCTCCTCGTCCTCGTCCTCCACCTCCTCCTCCTCCTCCTTCCCCCCTCCAACTCATGGTGGTGGTGGTGGAAAACAGGCCCATCACCCTCCCCACCTCCGCCCCCTTCAAAAAAGTACGAGGTACGTCTCTGTGCATCCCCTGGCTCGGGTGCTCCGTCGCTCCCCGACGGATCACCCAGGAGGGACGCGGGAGCAGGGATTCCGCCCGGATCCCCGACGGTCTGCGTCTTCCGAGCCGCCATCTCTCGGGGGCGGCCAAAAGGGGGGTGATGACTGGGGGGGGGGTGCATATCGCGGCGTGGGCCATGACAGACCCTCAGATTTCATGCCGCCTCGCCTTCTTTCAATGCATTCCCTGGTCCACCCCCTGGGCCGCGCACATGCCGCCAGCCATGATTTGCGCCCCCCCTCTTTGACGCCCCCCTCTTGGCCGCCCCCGACTCTCCCGGGCCCCGTCCTCCTTCTGCAGAGCTCTTGTGGACGATCTTGGGGCTCCGCGTCGGCTTCCTGGGGCTGGGCATGGCCAACAAAGCAGCTTTCCTGCGCGGCTCGTCCGAGCGGCCGGGGGCGTGGCAGGAGGAACCGAGGGAGTTCCAGTGGAACTTCCCTCGCCCAGCCCCTGCAAGCAGGAGGGTGTGTGTGTGTGTGTGTTGCCGACTCTTGGGACGAGAGGGTCCTTCTCTTCCTCCTCCTGACCCGCGTCCTCTTCCTCGTCCTTCGCCCCCATCCCCTTTCTCGTCATCGTCGTTGGCGTGATGTGTTCGACTTTGGGTCTGACGGCCCACACTTTTTCACACCATGGAAGAACCCTTCCGCAGGGGAAGGCAGCCGCGCGCGCCGTGTGCCGCATCACCATCTTGAACGCATACCGAGCCCGCTATGGGCGTCTCTGATCTGGTGTGGATCGGCTCTGCCGATCCGTCATCGTCTTTGGCGTTATCCTCGCCCACGCTCGCCCCCGCCACTGGCCCCTCGCCCTCGCCCCCGCCCTCGCCCCTCGCCCCTCGCCCCTCGCCACCGCCCCCCGCCCTTGCCCCTCGCCCTTCGCCCCCCGCTCCTTGCCCCCTGGCTCCCTCGCCCCCCGCCCTCGCCCCTCGCTCTCAGCACCTGCCGCTCCCCGCTCCCCCCCGCGGCTGCCCTGCAGCCTGTGTGGAGCCCCCAGCGCCCCGCCTCCCCCCGCAGGTCCGGCTCGGGCAGGCGAGCGCGGAGAGCGTCGAGGCGCAGGCGCCCCCCCCTGCCGCGTCGCCGCCGCCGCCGCCGAAGGCCGCCGCCGAAGGCAGCAGAGCGCGCCCGGGGAGGGGTGCCGAGGAGGGGCGGTGTCGGTATGTCCCTCTTCTCCCAGGTGGCCACCGAAGGCCGCAACAGCAGCGCAATCGCAGCGCGATCATCGCAGCGCGGTCGGCGCCCGCGGGCACCCGGCTGCGCCGCTGCGCGACGGCGACCGTTGGCGCCGCGAGGGTGGGGCGGCGAGTGTCAGGGCCAGGGACAGAGCCAGGCGGGGAGGCGGGCGAGACGAGGGACGGCGACGGGGCAGCGACGGGGCGGTCACGGCGATTGCACAGCCGCCGGAGCGGCAGACAGGCCGAGTTTCTTAGAAGGCAAAGGAGAAACCGAAGTGCAGGCAGTGTTTCGGGAATATGTATATAGATGTATATATGTATATATATATATATATATATAGATGTGCACTGTTACATATATATATATATATATATGTATGTGTGTATAGATGTGCGCTAGCACTGTATACGGTTTGGACATGTTTCGTTTACGGTTCGTACATGTTTCGTTCGTGTAAACGTTGTTTGCATTGTCGGTAGACATGGCGTAATAGGTTGTGGGCACGTGAGTTATGCGTCGTCTATGCGGTTGATACTTGTACGCGTTTCATATACGCCCCGTGTACGTCTCATATATTTTGCGTGTACGTGTCCTGTGTACACGTTTCGTGTACGTTCCCCATACGTGTCGTATGTGCTCATATATGTTCCGTATGCGTGGTTTGTTGATATTTGTGATGCATGTTTTACGGATGTGTGTGTGTGTGTGTGTTCAAGCGTTTCGTATGCGTTCGTACGAATGTTTGTCGTGTATTTTTCGTACCCGTGGTATATGCGTTTCGTAAACGCTTTAGTTCCCGGTTCGAATACGTTTCGTGCACGCGTTACATACGCGTCGTCTACGTTTTATGTACGCATCGCACACGTGATGTGTACGTTGTGTACACGTGTCGTAAACGGTTATTTTTACGTGTCGTGAGCGTTCCGCGTACGTCAAAGGACGCCTCGTCCACGCTTTCTGTGGGCTCCGTGTATTCTTCGTTGGCACCTCCTCCACGGATCGCATAGGTAATCGGACAAGTTTGGTATACGTTGCGCATAGTGTTCCTTTCACGTTTCGTTGAAGGTCTGTACACGTGTTATGCTCGGTTTTGTCCGCTTCGCATACGTTTCGCACACGTTTCATACACGTTTCTTGTCGTATCCGCATGCGTTTCGTATACATGACGCCTGTGGTTTCTGTACAGTTCGAATGCGTTTCGTATATTTTTGTACACATGCCGCATACGCTTGAAATACACATCGTGTACGTTGATATCTTTGGTGCACGATTCGTATCCGTAGTATTTGCGCTTCGCATGCGCTTTATCTACGTCTCGATTACGTTTCGTGCACGCTTGTTGTACGTGCCGCCTACGCTTTAATCACGGGTCGTATATCTGTTTGGTAGACGGTTTGTATATGTGTCATCTACGTTTTACAAGCGTTTCGTACACGTTCCGTAGACGTTTAAAAATACGTCTCGCACACGCGCATTGTAGGGTTCGTGCACGTTTCGTATACACCTTATGTATGGACCGTAGTTGTGTTCGCATAGGTTCCGTGCAGGTTGTCGTATACGTTTCTGTGCAGGTGGTGTTGAAGTTTCGGATACGTGTTGTAAATCCATGTGATATACGCTTCGCATACGTTTCACATGTTTCTCTTATACATGTCGTATGGGTTCCGCGTACGTCTCGTATACGTTTCGTGTTTGGTGTGTGTGTACGGTTCGTGTATGGTTCGTATATGTCTTATATACGTTTGGGCTGTTTGGGACCATTTTTGGGCAACCTTGAGGCCTTCTGGGGACTGTCTTCGGGCTATCTTGTGGCCTCCCACCGACTGCTCCTGGCTCTGGGGCCCCCCCTTGGAGCTCCCTTGGGGTTCCTTGGGGCGTTCCTGCGGAAAGCTCTTGAGGGCCGGAAAGACCACCCCCCGGGAGTTTCGGCGTCCTTGACGGGGGCCTCGCGGGGCATTTTTCTATTCAGAGGCCGCCACGCGCGCGCGATCCACTATAGTCAGAGCCTCTTACCGGAGATCTTATCACGCCTTCGGACCGTTCGGCCAGAGAATTGAAGGGATTGACGGCGATACGATAAGGTAGAGCCGGGTGCTAAGGTGGTGCAGCAATGGATTTGGACGCCCGAAATGGGTACCGAAAGAATGGGTACAATGCCCAACAGCAGTTCGTTTTCATTTTGAACAGGCCTCGCTGTCCACGCCGCCGCGGCCTGTGTCCATTCGAGACAGGAGGCCGCCTGCCCAACAGCGGCCGCTGTTGGTTTGGGACAACATTTGTTGTTGGGCATCGTACCCATTTTTTCGGTACCCATGTCGGGCGTCCAACATGGAGAGGCAGCGGATGCGGAGGAGGAAGGGGAGAGACAGAAATTGCATGGAGGACCGTGTTGAAAAGGAGGGAAAGGGGGAGAGCAAGGGCCCCGTTCGAGGGCAGAAGGCGCATATGGAGAAGGAGGAGGGGGAGGAGGAGAAAGAGGAGGATCACAAATACAGTGACGCCCCCACATGGGCTAGGCTGCACTGCAGGCAAAGCATGAGGAGGAAGGGGAGGAAGAAGGGAGGTACGGATTAGGAGGCGGCTGGGGCTGAGGAACCAGGCGCGACGAGCGGGAGCAGCAGCAGGGCGAGGAGATGTGGGAGCCCTGCCTGCGCGCGCGATCGCTGCGACCGCTAGGTGGCCGCCCTTCTCATCAGGGCTGCTGGTAAGCGGATCAGCCTCTCCCGAGTCAAGCTGCCTCACGCGAGATATCCAAGGTAGCCTTGCGGTATTTCCGACGAAGCGGCCATTCTATGCTAATGGCCTTCGGCCCATCCCGCCACCGTGCCGGCCCATCCTCAGGGATATTCCTTGGTTTCCTTTCGAAGCGCGCTCGGGGGCCTATTGGGGATAGTGTTGGGGCCTCTTGGGTACAGTTTTGGGGCCTCTTAGGGGCTTCTTGGGAGCCTCTTGGCGCCTCCTGGGGGGCTCTTGAGGGCCTCTTGGGGCCTTTTTCGGCCTTGGAGCCTCCTGAGAGTTTTCGAGCCCGAGGGCTCGAAATGTCCGTTCGGGTCCCCAGGGAGCCGTCTTGGGGGCCTCTTGGAGGCCTCTTGGGGTGATGTTGGGGGCCTCTCAGGCCGTGTTAGACGCTGCGAAGACCAAGAAGGCGAACATGTTGAAAGTATGCGCCTGGCGTCGGGAATTCGAGGATGGCTGCTTCTTGGAGCCTTCTTTGGGGCTCTCCTTGGGACGGTTCGGGTGCCTCCTGTGCTGTTCTGAGGCAGTCGGGCAGTCGGGGACATCTTTGGACCGTTTTTGGCCTGTCTCGGAGACCTCTTCGACCCCCCTGTGAGCTTCTCGGCAACTCCTTGATTTGGTTTTTGGGGGCCCCGCTGGGCGGGGCCTAGCTTCTCGGCACCCCCTTTGTTTGGTTCTTGGCCCCAGGGGCCCACACGACACCCCCGGCGGCGCCCAGCGGTGCCCAGGAGCGCCAGGGGGATCGGGAGTTGGTGCCCTTACGAATTGAGGGGGCGTGGATTAGCGACGGGTCCCGATTCCATGTGAAATCGCGGATATCCGCTTCCGAAGGAGGCAGCACCGGTCGCATTTTTGGGGAGGGCACCTCCCCCGATCCATGGATTTGGCGACCGCGCGTCAAATCCATGGATCGCTAATCCATGTACGCGCCCCCGACAAAAACACTAACAAGCCCATTACCTCGCAGAGCTGCATGCGCTTGGCGGCACTCCGCCACATGCGGAAGGCACGGTGGCGGTGACCAGAGGATGCGCCGACAGACCCAGCGCCGCTTGCGTCAGAGAGGCAGGCACGCTTTGGTTTGTCAGTTCACTGATCGTCACTTGTCAGGAGGGAAAAAAACACACAGACAATATGAATCGTCGATCCCCCAGAAATATGGGAAAATATGGGAAGTGGGGGGCAGGACAAAACCCAGAAAATATACGAACATATGAGGAACCCTGTTATTTGTGTCTATTTATTTGTGTGTCCCAGGGACCCTTCAACTTGTGCGTTTGTCTCGTCAGTCAGAATGTCGCACTTCAACATTGTGCTTGGGCACGGTGACGGATCACTGAGGGTTGCCTGCACGGCCTCGCCCCCTCAGAGTCTTAGAGTCTGGGAGGAAGGACGAGGAGGAGGAGAAGGGAGCAGGGGGAGGGAGGAGGGAGGAGACAGGAGGGACAGATGAAAGGAGGGAGGAGGGAGTGTTTTCCAGTTGCCATTCCGCGCGCGCAGTAAGTATATTGACGCATAGCTCCGGCCAGCGCGGGATGGATTATGGTGGATTGTGTTGCCTATGACGCCCATGGATGGGTAACACTACCACAGCCTACTTGCTCGCAGTGAGGTGGTCCTCCCATAGGAGCCCCCTTTGTTTGGTGGCGGCCCTCCCACAAACGCAACAGTCTACTCTTAGACGTGCTAGCTTGGACCGCCTTGCAAGGGGCCTTGACCAGATTCGTCCGCTCAGACTTCACGTAGTAAACACAACGCCTGCAAAATACAAAAGTTGGCCGAAGCACAAGGCGGTGTCCCAGCAGCTGTGCCGTCTGAATGCGATCCTGGAGGTCCTCGTCGAGTTCAATATATTCAGGTCCCGTTAGCTCGCACGGAGTCGGAGGAGGAGTTGAGGGAGGCATCAGAGGTGGAGTAGGGATCGACTCGGCGGCCGCATTCGGGGAAATACTCCTGATGCTTCTCTGTTCCATGACGGTTGTCGTATCGACGACATTTGACGACATGGCTGCTACTCTGTCTGCAAACTCTACTGCGTCGCATGTCATGTGGCATTCCTGCTACAGGCCTGCTGCTGCCAGGACGGGTACTCCGCACATGTGGGCCCTCACTCTTGGCGTGTTCGTCTGCGTACCTATTACCTCGGAAAAGCCGCTCGCCCATGTAAAGCCTGTGGGCCCGAGTGTTGGGCCGGACGAAAGGGGGGGATAGGGAAAGGGGGGATACGAAATCTGCTGCATGCAGCTGGTTTCGGCCCACCGAGAGGCCCATTCCTCGATACATGGCCGCCTCCAGCGCCGGGAGGCGCCGGGAAAATCAGCTACGTGAGCTGATTCTCACACGCACCCCTTTGCTATCCCCCCTTTTCGCCCAGCCCGAGAGTGGCGTGTGTCTTGAGTTGGACGAGTTGGACGATCCGGAGTGCTAACCCGCCGAGGTCCCCAAAAAACCAGGCTCGCGCCATACATTTGCATGGGCTCTCGCAGGCAGGCTGCACCACTCCTCGCCCCTTCCGGACTCATCTGCTACAGCCTGACAGTCACAGCTGTATCTTGAGGAGCGGCATCGCGCATCACCAAAAGCTGGATCACCGCATAGAGCTCTGCCGCCGGGGATATCCCCTGCCGATGTCTGTTGGAGGGGCACGGGACGGATGCAAGCAAACTCTGACACGTCTCCCGAGGGGTTGAGGATGGCAGTACTCCACCCCGCACGCCTTAGGGGCTCGTAGCTTTCATCCAGCAGAGGCCTGTCTGTGAAAGCTTCTCCCGTTGTCATTCCTGGATGCTCGCCCTCCCGGCACACGTCTTACGGCGTCGGCAAGGCATCCAAGAGTTCAAGTGGATGCTCCACCATACCTCTTGCCCAGAGCGGGAAGCTCCTCTGTGCTGCACGTGCCTACCTCTTACACGCCTGCGCGGCCTGTCTCGCGCGGTACATATGTACGTGCGGTGCAGATCCGTGCCGACAGCGCTCACGCGCGCCTGGCACTGGTCGGTCGTGGCCCGACCAGCTCTGTACACACGTTGACGTGGTCGCGCGCCTCCACGTCTGGGCCCGCGTGCCATGCTCGGCAGCCCGC